TTAGCCTGCATCTTAAGATATAGGATGATTGGCATCCGAAGGTAATCTACGAATACATCAAATATCAGACTTGTTGACACAGTTGAAATGCATATTAGTCTTCTTGATGAACAGTTAATATTAACAGGACACCAGCAGTTCATGCTCAATAAGACAAAATTGTTTCAAAATAATCGACGATGTCACATTTCCGTGCAAGGGATAACGGTCGGTGCATCTTATCATTGTAATTCAGGGCATGATAATTTCCAAACTGACTGAATTTCTGCCCATAGTTTTTGTCAGCTGTCAAACTTAGTACACAGGCATTTTATTCCATACAGTCGGCTGCTTGACCTTATTTAGCTGATAGGATTTGCAATGTTTTATTCATAGCCTTTAAAAAATGAATGTCACGGAGAGTGAATGCAGATTTCCATGACGTCCGTTTCCTGCAAGAGAAATATTATAGGATAAATAAATAAACCAGGAATATAACGGGGTGGAGTCCATCATAACGCATTACAAGACTAAATGATATTTTCCCCCGGGGTGGTACCTGTCCTACCCCCATTATACTGTATGCAAGGACTTGTCTTACACACCCCCTATACTGTCACTGAAATTAGCATCAATGCAAAGGGTTAAATACAACCTGTGATGCTAATTCACCTTGGCACATACTACACTCCCTAGTAAAGTTTGCATATAGATTTCGTTCGCTCTCGTTTCAGCGCAAAAGCCCATCTCCAGATCAATGCGACTCCCAAACTCTTTGCTATCATGGCTGCCAGCTCTCTACCGGGCTGGAGTTATAGGATTCCAGCAAGTCCTGCCGCATGGAACTGTGGAGTTAAAGACTAGGACCTCAATGTGTGTACCTACGAGCGGAACAGAACTAAATATTTCCAGGATTTGCTGTAATGTTCGGTACTGCTGCTCGGGCTAGCGTCCTGCTGAGTGTGCGCACGTGTCTCATGGAGGTGGGGGAGGTTTCAGCTCCATCTGGGCCCTTCAACCTGACGTCAACACCTACCATGATTATCTGTAACGGAGACCTTTCACATTCAGCACCAGCAGGCATACCATTCCGGCGCTAAAGACGTCATAGCGCACGCTGACCCTGATGCGTCCTCTTCATACTCCATCCCTTACTCACTCACCAGCACTTTACCGTGCGGCAACAAGCCATGCCTGGGCTGGGCATGAACAACGTCATTGTTTGTTATAAATGCAGGGAAAAGTGTAACAGTTGAGTGCACAGCACTAACAGTGAAGATATAAAGGAGCATCTGTGAGGTGAAATGAGAATTGTTGAGTATTGTAGGGGAAAAAAATCATTGCATCTAATTTGAATGAATCAAAATAACTGCATCCATTTATAAACATAATAAATTTAAAAGGCCTAACAGACCATTGCTTCTATAGACCATCTGTTCCAGCCTGGAGTATTTCATCCTTGTTTCTCTGCTTCCCCCTACAGTCAGACTTGAGTATTGCTGATTGCATTCTTTCCCCCCCCCCCCCCCTCAGCCCAGAAAACATTTTTTTACCCCACACAAAAATAACTGGAACCACCAGAGAAAAAGGTGTATTCATTGGGTTTAATATTTACAAAATTCACAGTTTTAAACTTTTAAAATGTCTATATTCTAGCAGACATTGAGAAAAGCAACCAATTTTTCACCATCACATACATTTTTTGAACTTCTAAAATTAAGTAGATTAATTCTTTAGGCAACCCTATACGACCGATTAGAAACTGCAGTTGGAAGAAGCACAAATGGATGGCTTTTTGATGTTCGCATTTTTTTTTATAGCAAAAGTTTTAATCCAATGCACTTCTTGAAAAAGGGTCAGACGGTCTCTAGAGCAATTAGGGGTTGAGGGCCTTGTTCAGGGGTCCGACGACTAAATCACTCTGCCAGCCTTGGGATTTGAACTGGCGCCATTCCAATCAAAAATCAAAAACACTGCATCCAAACCCATTGTACCACACTAACGATCATCACGGATGATACTTTAGGCTCCAAGTCCCCCTGAAATCCTGACCAGGAAGATGACTGGAAGGTCAATGCTTTTACATCTCATGGAACACAATTTAAAATCAGTCTCAGTATGGCATCTTGTTTTGAAAGTTGAGTGCAGGATGAAATGGCTACACTGACCATGAATGAAGATCTCAAGCCCTGACTATTTGACCTCCAAAGGTTCCGAAACCTACTATCGCCACAGTCATGATTTCCACAATGGCTCAGGACTCAAGTAGCCTTGGAGACTCATTGGTTATAAAAAAATTCCATTCTGCCAGTCCAAAGGGCCACAGCAAAAATGGAAACTTGAACGTTTTTAATGCATCAAAAAAGTTGCCAAAGGAAAGATATCGGCATCATTCATGCAAACAGTCATTAAATGTCACCTCCTCTGCAAAATATATGGCCCAGAACTGCCACATTTTTTCTTTTCCCTGTTGTTTCCACTATAAAAGCTCTCTTTCTCCTAATACCCAAAGTTTCCTTGTGTTTGCTGTCTGCATTTGATTATAAATATCATGACAAAATTTACAAACTGAACACTGAAAATGCAGACCATATGTGAGCCAGTAAACAGAGCCAGTCACAATGAGTGGAGATTAAGGTGCACAAACTGCCCTCAACAAAACTAATAACTCATATCTGCCCTATGGAATAAAAAAAAAATGCTGTTATTTTCTAACATGGTAAAAAATGTGTCTCTGGACCATTCAAACATTTCTAGGTCTTCTGTTGTCTCCAGGCAGTCAGATCTAATGGTTTCTTAATTATGTCAATAGAAAGAGAGAAAAAAAACAGCAAATGAAAAGGACAGAATGGAGTATTGAGTTCATATTGATTTAGCTGCATTATACATACTTCTCAGCTGAGTGAGAAAAGAAAACACAAACCATCATATCAATCAATGATAAGCAGCAGCCAGCAGAGTTCTACACATTGCATGTGTGAGTAGATGGAAAAATGTGCCTTTGGGGTTGAGTTTGCATGTGAAAATGACAGTTTTTCTCCAAGCAGCGGCGTACACAATAGTAATAAATAAACTGGCACCCTAGAGGACAGTGGCTCCACACAATGGGCTGGGAATCCATTGACGCAAGATTCGAAAGATATTGCTAAAATCCTCCCTTTACATCAGCAGCAATGAGCACAAGTGCTACCATGTTTTCAAGCCCGGCCTGGGTGAAATTATTAGTAAATTTGTACCAAGAAGTGAAAACTGGTTTTCTTCCGTGAGCAAAACTTAATTTAGAATAGCGTTTAGGCTGAAAACCAGATGGTCCCTACAGGTACAGATCAACTGGCTTCTCAGACCACTCCTATACTTATCCAATCAGCATTATTATTATTATTAATAATAATAATAATAATAATAATAGCATTATCATAATAGTCTCATTATTGACGGACTCCTTTGTTACAGTGTGTCTCATGAAATAAGGTTGTAAGTGTGTAATTCTTAACTGAAAAAATATGTTAAATATCAGGCACCATCTGCAGGCTGGTTCTGTGGTTTCCATGACGCCCCCAACAGTCTCTGCTACATCACAGGTCAATGACATCACCAGGGCCTCCAGTGCCTGAGAGACGCACTGCATAATCGGCGCAGGTCGGCCAGCGGCTCTCGCCTGCCGTAATGCCCATGCCTAGCAGTGGCGATGTCAGGCACCAGTGGCTGGCAGTCACAGATAGCGGGTTGGGGTGAGCAGGCTGTAGGATCCCACGGGGCATATAATGCCCAGCTCACTGACAGGACGGGCTTTCGGGAGAAATTTGTGACAACAGATTTGGGACATGGACCACAGACAAACAAGGAATTCTTTGCGCATGTCAGGAATGAACTGTGTCAGGGCTAAAGTATATTTCTGGTCTTCTAAAAAATACAAAACAGGATGCGTGCAAATCACTGGTGCTGGAAAAGCATTCAGCCGCGCTGCGCCCCAGCCCATGCGGCCCGGCATGGCTACAGCCCAGACAATAACTTACATAAACGCCACTACACATTAATTCTCCACGAGTCCTTTTGTAAATAACATCCTTCCTTAACACTGCCCTCCTTAACACTCCCCTCAAGCGGCAAGGAATGGAAGGGCCCCTTGGCAAACCCGCGCATGCAACTAAAACCAGTCACGCGGCTTTTCTCCACGTATAGATAAATTAAAGCAAAACCAGGCATGTGAACCTGATTTGCAATGTACATGAAGTCTAGCATAAAACATTCCGCAAAAAGTGTGGCCCACAGCGCCCCCAGCTGGCCGACAGCATTTAGTCCAAGATTAAAAAACACTAAAATATTAAAGTAATAATAAAAAAAATGCTACTGCTGATGCTTTAAAGATCTCCGCCAGAAAACCTGATATATACATATATAGTGGAAATTACAGCCACCTTTTACCCTGTTGGGGGTGTCTTCCAGGGAGGGGCTCCAGGTTCCCTGCATTCCTGGATAAGCGGCCACGCTCACATGGACGGATGCAGAATAAATGATATATTCCAAATCAATAGGCTGCTGTACGCTGACTGTTTTCCTGTTGGCTGACAGCTTCCCAGCTCACATCTAACCTCAGGGTTAAACCCACAGGCCTTAATCCATATGGATGGATGGATAAATGATTACATACAGCAACCCTGGATTGGATAAATGGTTATAAATTATGTATGTATGTATGTGTGGATGGATGGATGGATGGATGAAAATCCATATAAATTCCATAATACATAATTCGGTAACACTTTACATTAACGGCACCTTCATAATCCTATTATATTGCATTCATAAAACGTTCAGTATACCTTCATAATGTATTCATCAAGTATTCATAAAACATTCATAAGCATCATGGATGTATACCTTAACATCCTAACATCCCTTAACAGCTATAATATACATTTATAACAAACATTATACTTGTATAATCTTGTAATGTTTGCTATTAATGTATATTACAGATGTTAAGATGTTAAGGTGTAATTGCATGCTGCTTATGAATGTTCTATGAATGCATTATGAAGGTGCACTGAATGTTCTATGAATGCATTATGAAGGTGCACTTAATGTAAAGCGTTACCCATCATGATTATATCTTGGCAGTAACTGAACAGATCCTAAAAGAAATAAAGGTATTTGCAGTAACTATCCAAGGCAGTATTTTTAAAGATGACATTTACAGACAGCAAAGGCAACATGAAAATATAAAAAAGAAAGTGACCTTTGAAAAGATATTAAAAAAAAAAACCAGACACTCATGTGGTTTGGAACATCCACCAGATGGTTTTTTTGGCAACAGATGACTTGTCTCTGTCGTAAACATAACAGGAATCCTGAGGATTGTCTAGAAGTTGGAAAATTCTACAATGAATCCTTAGTTTCGTTTGCTTTTGGTTTGTTGTCAGGTACTGTTGCCCTGCTCTTGTGCGAATAGCACCATGGCAAGCTGGGATCGCGAACCCAGACGTTCCAGGTTGCTCTTGATACACCTGTGATAAATGTCCTCGCTGAGGCGTGGGTCACACACCTGGAAGTGATACTTCTGTCGCAGGACGGGCTCCACTGCCCGGAACACATGTAAACTAGAGTACCTGATAAACATTTCATAGATATCAAGAGTCTCCAAGATCTCCTCGTTCTCCTGAACATCCGCATTCATTTGGGTGCGTGTGGCCATGTAGTCGGAGTTGTAGAAGCACGCCTCGTCGAAGGCGTTGCGGTCAAAATGTCCATCATCTTTACTCAAGTACGTGGCGACCATTTGCTCCTGGTTATGGTAAGCGATGTCGGGGTTGTAGTCCTGAAAGTGGACTGGGAAGAATACCTGCCAGTTATTAATGGAGTTCATTCGGCACCGGTTCAGAAACTCAGAGTTGACATTGGTGTGGACATTAGCAATAAAAAACAATGTTTCCAATGGGTGTTTCTTGGAAATGATGTCCATCATTTTAATTTGAGAGGGGGCTTCTGTCTTGACGCTAATCCATGGGATTTTAACTGTGGAATACTTGCGTTCATACTCGGTGATTTTCGCTTTGACACCGCTGAAGATGTCCTTCTGGTTGACCTTCTGAGCCTGGAAAGGGTCGTAGATGAACAGGAAGCTCAGGACGGCATTTTCAGTCTTCTCAAAGAAGTGGCTGGCGTACACCTCGAGAAAGTGGTTAGCATATTCAAGGTCATGGACATTCATTGGTAGGATTATGTGAACCCTGGTCGCTTCCGTGACATATGGCATTGGTATAATCTCAATTTGACTCAAAGGTCGAACCAAGTGGACTCGTTTGGTTATCGAGCGGCTCCGCCCTTTCTGATTGACCACCTCCAGCTGAAGATCCAGGGTGTATTCCATACCTCGGGTGGGATCGAACCTCCGATAGCCATTAATGAGCTGCTGCTTCCTCATGTTTAGGATAGGCTTGTACTTTTTGTTTAGCTCCATCATGGCGATCTCGACAACATCCATGATGTCCACTTTATCAATTCCACGGAGCTCACACTTTGGAGAACCATCAACGCAGGTGTATACCTGATCTTCAGTGAAGTAGTCCCAACTCAGGACCTCGAAGCGCGTTTTTGGTTCAAACGGCGGATTGATTCCAACTGGCCAATGGGCTGTCCGCTTTCCATCGATAGCCTCCATGCTCACATTCTTTATTTCATCCTAGGCGTCACAGAGGACTGGTAAATGTTCATTCAGGGTGTTTTCAGGAAATTTATACAGACATTTTCACAAAACTTACAGAACTAAAAAAGAAAAACATATAAGATACATATAGATTTGTTCTTTGGATATACAGTGTTGGCTACTGACTGATGGGAAACTTTGTAGCATCCAAGCAGGGCTCACCTGAAGCTTCTGTATCTCATCATACGTCTGCTGGAGCTCGATCTCAGTGAAGTGTTTGTGTAGTCGGTACATCTGCTCGGGTTCTGTCACTGGGTGAACGACGATGGCATTCCGGAAGTTGGTGCTCACCTCCTTGCTGGGATCGAAATCCTTGCCTACCTCAAAGTGGTAGTACTGAAGACCCTGGGGGGGGGGGGGGGGCAACATTTGCCAACTATTAGTACAAGAAAACGGTGCTTCTCATATACAGTAACAGCTACCCACCCCCCCATCCATAAATTAGTGTTCATTCATTCAAACAAACAAGAAAATAAATAGCCAAGATATTAGTTTAGCTGTCTATTTTTCTCAATTCCACTTCAGGCTGCTATTATGTTCAACAGAAGCAATACTTTACTAAAAAAGCAGCTCTATAATTTTATGGTTTAAAAAAAAAACCACAAAAAAAAACAGAGACCTTGGAGAAGTACAGAATTGAACTGTCTATTCGCTAACCTTACCATGATCAACACACACTAAACCCTTCATGAGTTATTTCACGCTATAAGCATGCATTTAAAATGCATATACTCTTCATGGGTTGCACTTTAAATGCAATAGAAATAGTAACTGAGCAACAGTGCAAATAAACCAAGACACACCGCAACTGGTTCACTAAATAATTAAATTCTAAATTTAGACATAATCTATAGTTATTTAACTTCAAACTATGGTTTTTCCTTCTGGACTGTGAGTATGTCAGCTTTATAAGCATACTGAAGTAAATCTGAACAGCCAAAAATACAAATAGATACAGCTTGCGTGTAATAATCCACTGCAACATTCCTGCTGTGCTGTTCCGAGTATCAGCAACGCAGAACTCGGCCCTAGCTGGACCCGGCTATTATCGACAGCTAGTTCTCCTGAAGGTTCCAGATAGCCCTGCTCCCTACTGCCCCGATTATCTGCAAAATGAACGATTCCGCTTTGAAGTAAACCTGGGTTGTTATCATTCCATAGTCCTGTAAGCCTCCTCCCAGGGATTAGGTACTAGAGCACACTCTCTGACTTCACTCTCCACGGCAGCAACACTCTGGTGATTCATAGCAGCGACACGAAAAGGGTCATAGCGAGATGAGAAAATCCCATTTTATGGAGCTTCCTTCCTACAGATAAAGGTCTTGCACATCAAGAAGTTGGCGACAGCCTGAGAGCAAAGCATTCCATTCCCAGTGGTGCCAGGGGGTTAGGGGCCAGGGGGTTAGGGGGCCAGGGGGCCAGGGGGTTAGGGGGTTAGGGGCCAGGGGGTTAGGGGGCCAGGGGCC